TAAAACAATGTTGGAAAAAATAGAAGAGAAGATACAGAATGAGATGTTAGATATAAATGTAAATGTACCAGTACTTATATGAAATCTAAACAAAGAAAAGACAAAATAATGATTAAGGTCATAAAGCATCTAAAGAACACAATTTAAAAATGTACCTATTCACAGAAGATATATGTATAGATATTTATATATAGCATATACATTTATAATATGTATGTATATGTACATGTGTGTGTGCTTAGGTGTATAAACTAGAAATACACATTCCTCAAGAGCATGCAGAATAGTTACCTGAATCGAGCACATAATGGGTTATAGATCACGAATCAGTAAATTTTAAAACATTGAAAACCATAAAGATATATGGTGTAGCCATAGTATGAATAAGTTAGAAATAATCAAGTTACCTCTTTAAAAGTAATAGGCAATTTGCGACCTTATAATAATTTTTCATTGAAGTTTTACCATTTGAGCTGTTTACTTAGAATACGTACATTTATTTTATGTATTTCACTCTTAACAATTTATTTGAGAAGATATACAACGTATTTTAAAATTCTAAGATCAAATAGAAAAATAAACACACTAAAAAAGAGGAAATCCTAGGGGTGCTACCATACCAGGAAAAGCCTCTCTGAGACATAACATTTAAGGAGAAACTTCAAAAAGAGATAGAGGCAAGCTTTGTGTGGTTTCAAGGAGGAATGCCCCAAAAGAGGGAGAGAGGTGATGAAAATTGGAAAGGTGCTAAGGTGAGAGTATACTTTGTAGCTTAAAGAATAATAGAAGGACAATTTCCCTAGAAGACAGTGTGCATGGGGAAAGTGTGAGGTCAGGAAGTTCCAGGATTTGATGACGTAGGGTCCTGTAGACCAAAGGAGAGATTCGGTTATATTCTGAATGAGATGGGAAGCCAGATGGAAATCTTAATCAGGCAAAGTGGTAATGAGACATAGGCTTCAAAAATAATCATTGTGAGTCCTGGGTAGGAAACAGAGAGTAGAAGACAGAATAGTAAAATAGAAGCAGAGAGACACTTAGGAGGCATTTCACCCACCATGACACAATTCCCTTTTGAAAACATCAAGATGATGTTTCTCAGATTCCATTTCCACTACCTTACTTATAGGACTTAGAATGATTCCAAATACTTCCTCTGCTTGAAAGATATTAACTTTCACAACTGACCTTCCATTTTTACTTTTACAAAGATGTCTTAATGATAAAATTCCAATTAAAAGCTAACCATATGACTTATACTAAAATATGACATATTAAGATGTTCAAATTTTTGTCAATTTTATGGCATCAATTTGAATCACACTTCAAAAATCTTTCATGAATTTGATATGTTTAGCTAACATATGTTTCGGTGTTGGAAACTTTATG